GCTATCAGCATATAATTTAACATAGCCCAGCAGAAATGATAGTATTGCCAAGTGTGTCTGAGATTCCGCAGGTAACAGAAAGAATACCCAGAAGTTTTAAGAGAGCAGAGACTCAGTATGTCTCTTCTTCTGTTAAGTCTTTCTGTCCAAAACAAGAAGAAAGCACAGGACAAAGTCAGAGTCTATCCTCCACATGTGCCCTGCCCTTGGCCTCTTTTATTGAGCTGGGTATCAGAGGTGCTATTGATTACAGTCATTTTTACGGTGACGTTTCTCCAGCAGCAACGGGAGGGAAACCACCATCTCGTTTCATTGGAGCTGCTTCACAGGTGTCAGGCTGTGGCAGGTTTCAATCATTTCAGACCAGAGTTGTGTTTGAACTGATGACCCAGGAGGGAACAGCTTTAAAGAGTTGGATTCATAACTGTGGTATTGCAGATGAACTGTACAAGCCTGGTGGCACATGTCACTGAGCTGATGAAAAAATTGGTGGGAAACAAACCCTGTGACTTGCAGGATGTGCTGTCTGTGTTTCCCAAAGGCAAAGAGTTTGAGAAGTTTTGTTTTCCATGTAAGCGCAAGTAATGTGCTTTTCTGGCTCACCTAGAGCATTATTTTTCATCGTCAAACCTCAAAACGATGTTCATCTTCAGAACCTCTGTTTATTTCCTGATTTCCTCTCTGGATTTGAAACCAAGACTGCTGTTACCAGCATTTCACTGTGATGCAGAGGGAGACACAGGTGGAACAAGCATATGGCCACTTCTTAGCATATATATGACTTGATTTTGCTTAAGCATATGAGATACCAAAGTCCATACTTGGTTATGACAGACAAGATGTTAATGGCACATGTAAACAAAGTGCCAAGTTACTACTACAGAGAATATACTGGAGTATCCATCTTGTCTCATGTGCTCTCCTTGGCTCAAAGTTGACATGATTGTGTAATAAGTTTTGAACCCACATCTAAACTTTCTGAATTCCCCATTTAATTAGTAATTTTTTGTTTACTCATTTTTTCTAAACCAAGCAAATAACAGCTGGTGTTTGCTTATGTCAGGAAGACAGATGCATCACACAAACACCATACTTTCCCAGCATCAAAACTGAAAGTGAGTTGATGACTGAAGTGCAATGTGCGTATAAATTTGTATTTATAAACCTGTGCGTTTCAAATGTAACAAACGGATATAAAAGGAAGATGGAAAATATGTTGTCCTTATGGATTACAATAGCACAATAATTTTTTTTCTGATGTTTTCTTCCAGACCTGCTATAATATTTTCCATGTCTCCCGTTCCCCTTAGGAGTAAGCTCTTTGAAAAGTAGCGTGTTTTGGCAATTCCTTCGTGTGACCTAGCTCCTGGAGAGGGTTTCTCTAAGCTGCAAAGCAGAACAGCAGCCAAAAATGTAATTGGGCAAGTTAAATGGTTGTGCAGCTGAGAGCCCTTCACATGGTACAGCTGGTAGAAGCTTCCATGAGAAGATATCGGCATGTCATATTCAGAGTCATTTGGGCATCCCTGCAGGCTGCGTGAATATAACCAACTGGAACCCCAAATGCACAAACATGCAGAGAAAGGCTCGTTTCTTACATATCAGCTGAATTGGATTTGAACTGCAGTGAAGTTGGAAGGAAATGGAGGAAAGCACTCGGGAAGATTTATTCCTGTGTTAGAATATGCAAAACCAGATGCTGCATCTGTACCTCATAGGAAGTAATTTTTCTGCCTGATCACATTTTCTGTGATTGTAATCTCGTCTCCCTCTTCATATGTCCTTTAGTTTGCAGTTATGGTTGTGCATGTGACTGAATTTTCACCTACCCATGGAATGTGTATAGCACAGTTTTATCCAGCAGAGTAATCGAAAGAACAGTTCAGCTTCTCATAGGAACATCTAGTAATGCCTATCATCGTAATGGTGCTTTTAGTAATTTTGAGAGCCAAGCTGACAGCTTAACTTTCAATAGAGATTGTTTTATTGATAATGAGAGACTTGGTAAAGTGGAGGGCAGACCCAAATCTGGACATCCCTACATTTTCTAGGAGCTTTTAGAATCATAGAATCATAGAATCATTAAGGTTGGAAGAGACCTCCAAGATCATCGAGTCCAACCGTCAACCCAACACCACCATGCCCACTAAACCATGTCTCTAAGCACCTCATCTACCCGTCTTTTAAATACTTCCAGGGATGGGGACTCAACCACTTCCCTGGGCAGCCTGTTCCAATGTTTAACCACTCTTTCAGTAAAGAGATTTTTCCTCACATCCAATCTAAACCTCCCCTGGCACAACTTGAGGCCATTTCCTCTCGTCCTATCGCCAGTTACATGGGAAAAGAGACCAACACCCACCTCGCTACAACCTCCTTTCAGGTAGTTGTAGAGCATGATAAGGTCTCCCCTCAGCCTCCTTTTCTCCAGGCTAAACAACCCCAGCTCCCTCAGCCGCTCCTCATAAGACTTCTTCTCCAGACCCCTCACTAGCCTTGTTGCCCTTCTCTGGACACGTTCCAACATCTCAACATCCTTCTTGTAGTGAGGGGCCCAAAACTGAACACAGTATTCGAGGTGCGGCCTCACCAGTGCCGAGTACAGGGGCACGATCACTTCCCTGCTCCTGCTGGCCACACTATTTCTGATACAGAAATTTAACAAAGAACCCAAAGTGTTGTTGTCACACTAAATTCCCTAAACAGTTGGGGATTGATGGGCATTTTAAAGATTGCCCTCAGTAGTATTCTGTGAGTACCTACACTGCTTAGCTGTCTTCCTTCATACCTCATTCTTTAATATATATGTGATCATATTATTAAATATATGTCATAAAACACAAGGGATATGCTGTACAGCTAAATTTACATTAGTGTATGATCCTTACAATTCACATTTCTGGGTGCTGCTGCCTTTTCGCATAGGTGTAGTCCAGCTGGCATCTCTGAAAATGATCCTGCCTTAAACTACTAAAACTGAAGGGAGGAGGAGGCTCAAGTCCCATTTAAGCATGCACTATGAAAAAAAATTGCTGAAGTCACATGAAGTATTAAAAATAATCCCAGTGTGCTCAGTTACAGTCTCTCCAATAATAACGAAGGATCTTTTCATTGGGATGTTGGAATGTGAAGCAAATACTTTAAGCGGCAGACCCCGGACCTTAGAGGCAGAGCAGAAATTACTAAGCAGTTTGTTTCATCAGGTAAGAAATGTAATTTATTGCTGGTGATGGTACTAGGGAAGAAAGCAAAATGTCCGGCAAAACAGTCCCCCTCATCTCGGCCAGCCGGCAGGAGAGGAAAACTTGTTAAACAGTCTGGACGCAGGAAGCTGCAGTCAGGATCGTGACATTTGCAGGCAGCAAAGTTGATAAGTTTCCCATCTCCCTGTCCCTCCCCTTGTTCCCTGCCCACCTACACACACAGCTGCTCCCTGCCCAGGCGGCCCTGGTGTCAACCAACATCCAAAAACTTCAGGAATGCAGCCCCACAGTGCTGTGGCCAGTGCTGGGGCAGAAACAGAAACGTGCTGATTACAAAACATAGCTCTAAATATTCCCTGGTGGAACAGAGAGCAGAAGTGTGAGACAACAAAGGGAACAGAGGGAGATTTCTTGCCTTTTCCATGAACTGTAGGAAAGGTGGAAGGCTATTTATAGTGTAATTTTTATTGAGGGAATTCAGAAGTTGAGAAGCCTGATCTTCGATGTAGTGCACCTTGTGAGGCTCTTGACTTGCTTAGGTGAAATGTGTAATTCACCATTCACACACAGAAACGGTGTTTATCTGCATGAATTGCTGTGCTTGATAAGGAGCCATAACTCCCGTGCTTCAGAAACTATTTTTAAAAAGCCCTACCCTCCAAAAAGGCTCAGGTAGCCTGTGTGTAACTCACTCTTGCCTTTACACAGTGTGAAGACTCAAGGTTGTGATTTGGACACTGAATAGGTTTTAAGCATTAGTTGTGCGCTTGTTGGGGGTTTTTTGAGTTACCAGACCAGTCCTTCAGAATATGGAATTATGTTCTGTATCATGCTTTACACTTTTCACCAGTGATTAAGCTTCTTTTTGGTGGTATTATCTCCCATAAATCATGCTCCCACAATATCTACCTTATTCCCTATGTGTAAGTACGCACACCCAATTAGAAAACTGTTGGGGAATAAAAGCAGCATTGCTGAGCTACCCACATCAAATTGCAGAGTCCACTTTCCTAAGGATTCCAATATGACTTTGCGATGTTAATGGCTCATTCTGTTGCTTTTGATAGTTTTGCAGGTGGGCAAATTGAGGCATCATAGCAAATAGAAGTAATAACTTCTAAATTTGTACTGGGAGCAGCAATTGTGGTGATCATTTGCATTCAGAGTCTTCACCTTTGAGCCCTGGGCAGAGCAAGTGGCCAGGGAGCTCTGCAGGCTCACAGCACGGCTTTTCCCTGGGCTTCTTCAGTGCTCTCCCAAGCCCAGCTGATTCACTTAGGTGTAGTAACAGAGAGGATTCAGGCTAACCCTGACTTGTAATGAGGAATCCTACAGCACGAAGCTTTAGAGGTTTTGTCTCAAACAGTTAAAAAAATGACCACTGTTTTCCAGGGTATTGTTGGACCCAGGAGGTGACTGTCGTTCTTGCTCATATACTTTTGACCAAACTGCTGTAGACTTATGGGCTGGCTCCCAACCAAATTCATCTTTGGATGAATTTGGACAGGCTGGAGAGGGTCCAGAGAAGGGCCACAAAGATGATCAAAGTCTGTCCCACCACTGTATGGGACCACCATACTCTGAGGGATTTAGGTGGATGTTCAGAAGGAATTTTCTCAGGAGGACAGAGAGGTTTAACCTCAGCATTTCCAATGACAGATGCCGCATACTTGCTGTGATGTGGTTTACCTGTCTGCAGGGCAGTGGCAGTAGCAATCTTGTTGCAAGTTCAGCAGTGAACTTCTCTAAATCTTGGCAACCATGGTCCTGTATTTCCAGTCTTCTTTCCCTGTGTAGTGTCAGCCAACGTCTGACTCCTTGGGCAGTGGCTGCCTGTTGAATACTTATATCACTGGCCCACTGTTAAACAGGAGAGGTGAATTAGTCACCAACAACGCTGAAAAGGCAGAGGTTCTCAACACCTTCTTCACTTCTGTCTTTACCAGTACTGTTGGGCCCCAGGCTTTGGGAACAAAAATCCAGGTTGATGCAAACATAGACCCACCGTCAGTGAGGGAAGAGTTGGTATGTGAACTATTACAGGATCTTGACCCCTACAAATTGATAGGCCCTGACAATGTCCACCTGAGGGTGTTAAGAGAGCTGGCTGATGTCCTTGTGAGGCTGCTCTCCATAATCTTTGAGAAGTCGTGGAGATCGGGGGACATCCCAGAAGACTGGAAGAAGGCTAGTGTCACCCCCACCTACAAGAAGGGGCTTAAAGGAGGATCCAGGAAATCCATCAGTCGTACTTCAGTCCCTGGGAAAGTTATGGAACGAATCCCCCTGGGGGCTATCACGAGTCAAATGAAGCACGTGATTGGGAAAAGCCAGCATGGATTCACCAAGGGCAAATTGTGCTTGACAAACTCGATCGCCTTCTACGACGAAGTAACCTGCTTGGTTGATGTAGGGCGAGCGGTGGGCATTGTCTACCTGGATTTCTCCAAGGCTTTCGATACGGCTTCCCACAGCCTCCTCCTAGAGAAACTGATGCGTTACGGTCTAGACAAGTGGCCCGTGCAGTGAGTGGGGAACTGGCTGACGGGCTGCACCCGGAGGGTGGTGGTAAATAGCTCCTTTTCAAACCGGCAACCTGTTACAAGTGGGGTCCCCCAGGGGTCGATATTGGGCCCAACGCTGTTTAATATCTTCATAAGTGATCTGGATGATGGGATCAAGTGTACCCTGATGAAGTTTGCATATAATACCAAACTGAGTGGGGAAGCGGACACTTTGGAAGGGAGAGCCACCCTGCAGGAAGACCTGGATAGGCTGGAAGAGTGGGCTAACGAGAACCTTATGAAGTTCGACAGAGACAAATGTAAGGTCTTGCACCTGGGAAAACATAATCCAGGAGTGCAGCACAGGCTGGGATCTACCCGGCTGGGGAGCAGCTCTGTGGAAAGGGACCAGGGGGTCCTGGTGGACAAGCAGCTCAATATGAGTGAACAATGTGCTGCTGCGGCAAAAAAGTCAACGGGATACTGAGTTGCATCAATAAAGGGGCATCACCAGCAGAGATAAAGAAGTCATTATCCCACTCTACTCAGCGCTTGTCAGGCCACACCTGGAATACTGTGCTCAGTTTTGGTCCCCGCTATACAAAAGAGATGTGGACAGGCTGGAGGGGGTCCAGAGAAGGGCCACAAAGATGATCAAAGGATGGGAAGCCTGCCACGTGAGGAAAGGCTGAGAGAACTGGGTTCGTTCAGCCTTGAGAAAAGAAGGCTTAGGGGAGACGTCATCACCACGTTCCAGTATTTAAAGGGTGGCTACAAAGAAGATGGAGACTCCCTCTTTTACAAGGAGTCACTTGGAAAAGATGAGGGGTAATGGGTGCAAGTTACTCCTGGGGAGATTCTGATTGGACACAAGAGGAAAATTTTTCACAATGAGAACAATCAGCCACTGGAATAATCTCCCCAGGGAAGTGGTGGATTCCCCAACACTGGACACTTTTAAGATTCAGCTGGACAGGGTGCTGGGCCGTCTTGTCTGGACAGTGCTTTTGCCAAGAAAGGTTGGACCAGATGATCCTTGAGGTCCCTTCCAACCTGGTATTCTGTGATTCTATGATCACTCCATAGATGAATGCACTGCAGGAGAAGCAGCTGCAGAAAACTGGCTGCTCAGGCCTGGGGAACAGGTAATGTTTGTAGCTCTCTCATTGCCCCTGTGACCGGGTAGACAGTTGTGAATTACTGAGGAAAACAATATTGAGTCTTGCTCAACATGACTGCAAGAGGCTGTGACCTAGGGCTGAGTTCATATTAATGGCAGTGTTCCCCTTGATTTTGGTAGGGGAAGGAGCTGCTGTGTAGCGCCAGAGTATGATGTATTGGGAGGGGAATATTCCCCTCCTCTGGTGACTTCACTGGGTGCAGCTGCTCCTCAAATGTGTTTCGAAGTAGCTTCTCATTAGGATCAACTCATGGGAAGTAACAGATGGTGAAGTGAGGCTAAATTAGTGAGAACTTTGTGCTCTGTTAATGTTCTTTCTCTCTACTA